GACTCACAGTTCTTTTTTTTTTTTTTCCCACCGAGTCAGAAGGTATTGTGTACATTACAGTACAGTAGTTTAATAGCCTTTGGCATAAACTGGGCCAGGAAGCTAGCTGCCAAGTGCTCACCTACGAACTGACCCCAGTTTCTGTCGCTAACGCCAAGAGAAAAAACCTTGCGACTATTCCAGGCACGGCGCTTGTAACGGTATTGTAATATTTTTTAGTTTTAAGAAGTTTCCTGCAACATTCAGAGACACGAACGAAAATGAATAAATAAAGAATTTAATTGCTTAAATATTCTCCCATTGACCTTGTGGAAGAACTGGCATCTGCAGTGCATTCTGGGTACCGCAGAGCGTACGTAAAACGTACGTGAGGTTTAGTGACTGAGAATTGTATTGCATGTATGAGGAAGAAGTGCAACCGGAGGCATTTATGAGATTATTTTGTGCTTTGTAGCGTAATAGCATCTGTTTTTGTGAGCGTCGCGTCAGTACTCGGTGTCAGAGGCGTCCGCTGGGTCGGTGTTGCGTGACAGCATGTAGTTGTCCATGTCTATGGAGGGGCAGTTGTGAATGGAATAGCGTAGGCGCTGTAGGGAGGAAGGCGCAGCTGAAAGAAGCACGTCTGGGCCGTAGGAAGGCCGTTCATAGGCTGTTGAGAGAACAAAGAGAGAGTGAAGACCTTGGCTTCATCCTAATATTCACATACTGCTGTTGGGCATGGAAAGTATGTATATACTATTAGTAAGCCGACTCCGCAATCTAGCCACCTCAAGACAACACCATCAATCAGTCTGGCTGATTGATCGGACGATATTTGCCAATATTGTTAATACTGGATATATATAAAATATATATCTAAAATATGTTTTTCTGTGTCCCTTTCAGTTAAAAAAAATGACAAACTTTTCATATAAATAAACATTAATAAAAAAATACATAATTTAAAATGTTCCACTTTTGGGTGAATTTTAGTAAAATCATTCTAAATTCAAAAGGTAGTTTTTTTTTTTTAAATACATACCTAAAATATTTTTTCCCTATGTCCCTTTCAATTACAAAATCTACTGACAACCTTTTCATATAAATAAAAACACATATATATATATTTTTTTTATGGGGGTAAATTTTAGTAAAATAATTAGAAATTTTATGCTCAGAAGTTAA